CCGTCACAGTCTTCCTGGTTGTCAAGGCTTCAAGTAGCATTTCCTCTTTTACCTGGAAGAGAGATGACAATAGATTTTATTTGGGTTTTAGGAGGATAAAATTCTAATCAACTTTAATTACAGCTATAATTCTTTTTGCAAATCTTTCCTCCAGGTTTGCACCAGCGTTAATTTCATCAAACAGGACGATGACGAAAATATTTTGTCAACGCCCCTTTTTCCCGTGAAACAAAGTTGTTTCCAGGAAAAAAAATATGACGAAAACAAAAAATGATTTTCGTTAACAAGATTAAGACCTGACTAAATTTACAAGTCATCGACGAACAGTGTGCACAGTGTTATATAAATGAAATAGAGAAAAGTGAATCAGTGTGTGAAGAAGTTCTATTATTTACAGTGTTCACTAAAATGACAAAAATGACTAAAATTTGACTAAGACTAAAATTGATTTTCATCATTTAGACTGAGACTAAATTGAACAAAGCTGACGAAATTAATACTGGTTTGCACATTTAGAGGCAGGCACTGATTCCCTGTCTTCATTACAAAATCTCTCTAGCATCTCTTAACGTTGCTGTTCCCATCATGTAATGGATCATAAATTTATTAAAGCATAGGCTTTGACTGGGTCATTCTGACTGATGCACATGCTTTGCGTGATTTATTTGTATGTATTTTCCAAAAAAGTTTCATAGTTTAGGAGAGTTACACAATTATGAATGTGTTGTTTATTTTAGTGGACCGTAACCAAAAACATTATATATAATATCAGCCTATAAATTTGGTGCACCCCTCCATTTGAAGTGTGCTCCTTCTTCCCCATACCTAGGTATTAGGATACCCCTATCCCTACACATGAACACGTAAAAGGGGTAAGGCCAGGGGTAAGGTTAATGGGTGAAAGGAAATTCACCCTTATGGATATCTTTTAACCATGCCTTCCTAATACTCTTCCATAAAGGCTCAGTTTTTGTTGCGCTTAACTTATAATTATTAACCCATCTGAACAGAGCATCTCTGCAGCATATCCCCAGAATCACCTTGAGCCCATTGGATGCTAATTCTGATAAATATTCTGTTCTGCCAGTCTTGTACACAGGGGTGGATTTAGGAAATTTGGGGCCCTAGCCAAAGACAGGCTCTGAATTGAGAAGATGACACATAAAACAGACCCAAAAAGGCGACGGCCAAAGTAAATAACCCAGTCCTTCTTTTCACTGTAGAAAAGCCATGATCTGCTTATCTGTTCTCCATTTTTCATTTGGATGAAATAATAGCTGCATGAATCATGACAGCAGACAAGATAGAGGAGAGCAGGAGG